AAATATTTGGCTGTGTGGGCAATAAAACAATTATTCGTGCCATACTTCTTCATTGAGAGCTGCGCTTTTGACTCTTCACTTTGGGGCTTCGCAGAACCGGACTGAAAGTTGCCTTTGACCTTCACCACAGGGTTCTGGAGTCCTGATTAGGTTCCCTAATTGAGCACAGTTAAATGCATAAGCTGATTGCGGCGAAATATTAAAAAGTTTCCCTTGAAAGGGTCTCAAATAGGAAAAGTGTGGAAGTGGAATCTAAACTTTATTTAGGTTAGTGGTCTGTTATTAGATGGATGTTATTATTTTATGATGTTCGATATTTTTCATTTCAATGTTAATCATAGTAAATCAAATGTTTGATAAAAATGCATTTTAACATGGTTAAATGTTTATCTTTTCAAGATATTGTCTATTATTTTGTTTATGGCATACGAGTTTAAATTAAATTAAAATAAATATTAAAGTTGTATACTGAAGTAATATTCTAATAAAACTATAAGGCTTTTGAAAACCCTTTTGAACCATTTGCACAACACACCCTTAAGGAGGAATTGGCTTTGCCGTATTTCCCTTTACTTGTGTCGGAAACTAAATAACTTACATTCACGAATTATCATAAATGCCTTTCCACTCCACTTTAAACTTCAATTTTGGGCACTTAGTGCTCGTTTCATGCACCTCCAACGTCGACTAACATTCAAAGTTGGCCACATCAAGCCACATTGTTAGCGCTAACTACCAGGAAAGGCCTCTGGCGTTTTCTGTTCCAGCCTGTGTCCTGTTAATGAAATGTCGAATCCTGAGCGAGGTCCTCGCATCCCTCCTTCCGTCAACCGTTTCGCGTGTGTGTGTGCGAGTGTGTGTTTGTGCGGCTTGTTCGCGAAACTTAATAAAAGCGCCGCGAGACAAATTCGGATGTTGGTGGATGTTTTTACCTTGGACGAGGTGGGGGCCAAAGGATGCGGCCAGGATGCTGTACATCAAACTGCCGCTGCTGCCGCTGTTTCTGTTGCATGTTTATCGTGTTTGCGGCTCATTAAATGCGGCTCATTAGGCCGGGTCAGAACTCACAGGCGCACTGCTGCAGCGTCAAGAGGGTGAACTCCCTACTCATCCATGGCAACTTGGTTCCATTTACATTCATGCATGTAGAGCCAGCAAATTAATATGGTTTTCGATGCCTTTGTGTTTGTACAGGATATATCGAAATCGAAAAGTAGCAATCATATCAAATATTATACTCGAAATTAAACAAAAACAGAAGCGTAATCAGAATCTCTGACACACACGAAAGCAATGGGGTGAACCATGCGTGTATGAAACCATTAAAAAAGTTTGAAACATTAAATAGCTAACTTCAATTTAAAATAAAGTCTGATTTTAAAAGAACAAAATATGGGTTTTCCCTTTAAATTATTAATAGAATATGTTTTGTTATTTTCTTAGAGAGGTCCACCCTGAATAGCAGACAGAAACCATTCGAAGACAGGCCAAAACCGAATGCAGGTCCTAATTGAAATCGACTATGTTGATCATGGGGTCCTTTCCCATCCTTTCCCGTCCTCACTCCTCCGACTTCTGCCGATGACAGATGTCGGAGTGAAGTCTGCTTCTTTCCTTTCTTCCCTTTTGATGAATTGATGCAATGTTTAGGCCTTTTTATGAGCCAAAATCCCTGTGTCCGTGTGTTTGTCTGCCCGTCAGTGTGTTTGTGGCTGACAAACAGCTTAAAACCTTGATGGACATTAGGCTCCCAGGGAGGGAGAGGTGGGTAGTTTTACATTTCAACGTCTGTAGGACCAAAACCAAACCAGAAACCCAACCGAACGGACGATGCGGAGTACAAACAAAAACGCTTTGAGGCCTTTCCCTCACTTTGGCTAGGTAGCAATTACTGTTTGCTTATGCATTTGTTATTGTTGCCGTTGCAGCCAAAGAAGTAGAATTGAAATTTGAAATTCATAATTCAATTGAAATTGTGCTTTGCTGGCAGCAACAACAAAACCCGAGACCAACAAATGGAGTTACACAACCACACCGAAAACAATTTGGATAATTTGATTTCGATTTTACAGCTTTTATTACTTATTAAAGTAGTATTACTAAAATATTACAAAATTGATCCCCTGGTTAAAATATAAGATACTTTAATGGCAAAAGTCGATTGAATATGTTCCACTCTAAACAGTAATAATATACGTAATATAGTTTTAATTAAATACGCCAACTTTTAACTTTCCTCTTGGTTTGTTCTTCGATTCCTACAACATTTGTAATAGTTTGAATCAGAAAGAATAACAATAGATACTAAATAAATAAAAAAATATAAGCAAATATATTCTTTCTGTGCACTGATGCTGCCACAGATGGGGGCGTGGTCGCCAAAGGCGGACTGCGTGTATGTGTGTTAATTGAATGCAGTTGCAATTGCAGTTGTATAGCATCCAAATGCATCGGCAACTGGAATTTCTTTGATCATTTTGCCGGAGAAGGAACGATTTCAAAAAAAATACCAGCTCCTTTATATACGTCCATTTGCTGACATTTTGTTTAAAATGCATAAATCATCAAATGGTGCAGTGTCATAAACCAAGCAATGCACAAATACACAGAGACAATAAATATATATACATGCGCTTGCATACGAAAATCAAACACGGGATATTATTATTTTGTGAGCTCGGCAGAAAGCAACAGAAGCATTGAGGAACAAGAAAGGAAAGCTAACTTCGGGCGGAGCCGAAGTTGAAATACCCTTGCAGAATATTCTGCAAATTATATTCTCCAAAATTATTCATATGATGCATTCTTTATACTCATAAAAAATCCCAACTTCCTAACTTTAAAAACACCAAAGTTATGGCATTTCCAATCGTTCAGTTATGTATATGGCAGCTATAGAATATAGTCGGCCGATCCTTATGAAATTTGATATGTCGGATTGATTGGGCAAAAAATAAAACCCATAGAAAATTCCAACTTCCTAACTTAACAAACACTTAAGTTATGGCATTTCCGATCAATCAGTTATATGGCAGCTATAAGATATAGTCGACCGATCCTTATGAAATTTGGTAGGTCGGATTGATTGGCCAAATATAAAACCCATAGAAAATCCCAACTTCCTAACTTAACAAACAGCAGAGTTATGGCATTTCCGATCAATCAGTTATATGGCAGCTATAGGATATAGTCGGCCGATCCCGGCCGTTCCGACTTATATACTGCGTGCAAAGGAAAGAAGGGTGTGTGCAAAGTTTCAATTTGATATCTTTAAAACTGAGAGACTAGTTCGCGTTGAAACAGACAGACGGACAGACAGACGGACAGACAGACGGACAGACAGACGGACAGACAGACGGACAGACGGACAGACGGACATGGCTATATCAACTCAGGAGGTGATCCTGATCAAGAATATATATACTTTATAGGGTCGGAGATGTCTCCTTCACTGCGTTGCACACTTTTGACCAAAATTATAATACCCTCTGCAAGGGTATAAAAAACAGGAAAGTAGAGAAAGAATTCAACTAGAACGAGGCGAAATTCGAACCCTCTCCGCCAGTTGCAATAAATCTGCTGGGGCAGTCATAAATATTGATTTCGAAATTGTCCCTTTTGCATGGTGTGTCGGTGAGTGTGAGTGTGTGTGTGTGGGTGTGAGTGTATTTGTGTAATAGCCACGCCCACTTCGCCCCACTCCACTTAGATTTGTCGCTCATATTAGCTGCAGAAATGAAAATCGTTTTCCAATCGTATTCTTGTCGTTTACCTTTTGCTCTTGTCGTTTTCCGCCCCCCATTTTTCCATTTTCCCAACTGCCCTGTGTTCCGTTCAAGTGTAATTTGCAGTTGCTTTGCCTGTCGTTGTTATTCTTTTGCTGACAAACGCTCTTCTGGCATACCCTTTTGAATTGAAGGTCCTACCTCTTAAAAAAGCATCTTGGATAAATATGAAATTTAGCTTGTTGTTTTATTTTGCGATTCAGTCCTATTTGTCTTCAGACAGTTTAGCATACCTTGGTATCAAATTCTGAAATTTGGTAATGCACAACAATTCGAAATAATATTTCAAATATTCATTCTTGGTGAGTCATTTAAATTTTCAGCTTTTTTTATTGGCATTCATATATTTTGTATTTCGTTGCCGAATAACAAATGTTTATATGTTATTATCAGCAATTTACGCTTAAGCTTATTATGATAACCTCTGACCAGTAAAAAGATTATTTCAAGAATTATAAAGAAAAAAACTGCTATTGAAAAAGTAATAAAAATCATTTACATTGACTTTAAGTACTTTAGATTACATTTTTAACGAGCCATTTGCTGTTTTCCAAATGATAAATTTAAACAGAGCATTTAGCAATTGGTGCTGACCGTAACTTCCTTTGGTGTTGAACTCAATATCTTCAACATGATGGCAATCGGTTTTTGTATTTGATGCTTTCGTCATTGACCGTCAATGGTTTCCATGGATTCATCTCTTGTGGCTCTTATTGAACTGTTGTTATTGTTTTGGCCGCTGCCGTTTTTCAGAAAAGTTTCGAATTTATGATCCGTCACTGACTTTAAAATTATGGCCATTGATATCTGGCAGGTGGTTCGCCGAAGAAACAGAGACAGGCTGAGAAAGAGAAAGAGATTGAGAGGGAGAAAGACAGGGAGAGAGTGAGAGAAAGAGACGTCACATATGCTGGCCCCAGACTGAAATTGAAATTAAAGTCATAATTCATTGCGGGTCCGAAATCTGGGCGTTGACTTCGCCTTAAAGCTGCCACTCGTCCAGTTTCTGATACTAGAATTGCCATGTTAAACAGTGAAAAAAATGACAATCCATCAATCTTGGGAATTCTTAGGAATCAGAATCCACAAAGTCACGATCTTTACACTTAAGTGGACCGGAAAGATCCCTGATAAGCTTGATTCTATAAAAAATATGGAATTGACACTCAGCTCCCGACTTTAGATCAGTTCTTTAGTGAATATTCGTTCAGAAAGATGAGTGCTGTTCGGTGGATATTTTTGTGCACACTTGTGCTGATTCATCATGGATCTTCTCAATTTCTAGATGACAATTGTGCAAGTGTTAATCCCTTTATTGAGATTAAGGGGTCTAGTCGCACTCCTTGGCTAGCTGAAATTCGATCAAAATCTAAACTAATCTGCGCTGGCTCGCTTATTAATAAACGTTTGTATTTAATAAAGAATGTATTGCTTGGGACTTTGACAATATTGACTATTTTTTAGAGTATGTCCTGACGGCTGCGAGCTGCATAGACTCCCAAACCCAACTGTAAGTCATGCCAAACAAAAATTACGTTACAATAAAAAGAAACTTATTTTTAACAGGGTCGTGCGCTTGGGAAATTTCGACGGATCGGTTTCAGACAATAGCTATTCCGACAACACCTATGAGGAATACCCTGTCTCAAAAGCCTACGTACACAGGTCATTTGCGTCAGCCACACATGAACATAACATAGGTTTGCTTAAGCTGCCAACGGCGGTCGTGTATAAGAGCCATATAACACCGCTATGCATCACAGAAAATGCCAGTAGAAACAAGTCGCTCACCTTTGAAATATCAAACAAGGATCCTAAAATTGGCTTTTGGTGCAGTATAGGATCATTGTTTGGAAATTCTTGTGCTGACAAAAAAAAGCAAGAATACGTGGCCTCTAATCTCGTTGGCAGTCCCTTGAACATATCAATCTTTGAAGTGGTTTTAAAGCGCTACGTGCAACATGGAATTCTGAGCTATCGCAATCCCGAAACATATGCTGACGTTTATACCAATGTTTTTGCCTATACGGACTGGATAATACCAATCGCGTTAGAAGAAATGAATTGAATAATTGAAATAAATCTATAGCAATATAGATTTAATAATGGTACTGCGACCATCAATATATCATTTTGTTAAGAGTTTTATTTTTTGTACCAACAAATATGTTTTCAATATTGTCTATTGACTCTTTATCAATCAAACATTTTCTTAATTTTTGATGGGTGAAAAAAAAGAAACAACTTAGAAATCTTGTCACTTAATTGGACCGAAAAGATCCCTGATAAGCTTGGTTCTATAAAAAAGATGGAATTCACACTCAGCTCCCGACTTTAGATCAGTTCTTTAGTGAATATTCGTTCAGAAAGATGAGTGCTGTTCGGTGGATATTTTTGTGCACACTTTTTCTGATTCATCATGGATCTGCTAAATTTCTGGATGACAATTGTGCAACTGTTAATCCCTTTATTGAGATTAAGGGGTCTAGTCGCACTCCTTGGCTAGCTGAAATTCGAACAACATCTAAATTAATCTGCGCTGGCTCGCTTATCAACGAACGTTTGTCTTTAATAAAGTAGTTAATTCTTGGGATCTTGCCAATATGCATTTTTTTTTGTAGATTATGTCCTGACAGCTGCGAGCTGCATAGAATCCCAAACACAACTGTAAGTCATGTCATACAAAAATTACGTTTCCAAAAAGAAGAAAATTATTTTTAACAGCGTCGTGCGCCTGGGAAAGAAGGAGGAATACCATGTCTCAAAAGCCTACATGCACAAGTCATATTCGGCAGCCACACATGAACATAACATAGGTTTGCTCAAGCTGCCAACGGCGGTCGTGTATAAGAGCCATATAACACCGCTATGCATCACAGAAAATTCCAAATTTAAAAACCAGTCGCTCACCTTTGAAATATCAAACGAGAATCCTAAAATGGGCTTTTGGTGCAGTATAAGATCATTCCTTGGAAGTTCTTGTGCTGACAAAAAAAAGCAAAAATACGTTGCCTCTAATCTCGTTGGCAGTCCCCTGAACATATCATCCTGTGAAGGACTTTTAAAGCGCTACGTACAACATGGAATTCTGAGCTACCGTGATCCCAAAACATATACTGACGTTTATACCAATGTTTTTGCCTATACGGGCTGGATAATATCAATCACTTTAGAAATCGATTCAAAAATTCCGAATTTTCAATGGGTGATTTGAATAATTCCGAGAAATCTATGCAATATTATTAGTTTGCGACCATCAATATATATTTTTGTAAGAAGTTTTATTTTTCATACCAATAAATATGTTTTTAATATTGCCTATTAATGTCTTTATCAATAACCCATTTTTTCATAGAAATATTTTACTTTTTTTTTTAAAAAATTACTCACACCTTAAATAAATAACAAAGTTTATTGGCAATCATTTTTGTTATTTGAAGGAGATGGTTGTTATCTGATAAAATTATTTATGGCATATTTTCTAATAACTAATTAATTTTAATATTTATTTTAAGGAAGGTCCTATTTATTAAGAAAGTATTATGGATAAATGTAAAAGTAAGCTCCTTATTTTATTTTAGGAAGCAGTCATATTTTTTTCTTCAGACGTTTAAATTTTCAAATAATAATATATGTTATATTAATTCTTGCTTGAGTCAATTGCAGTTTCAAGCATTGGTTATTGGCATTCTTATATTTTATATTTTGTAGAGTTTTTTATGTACGCATTCAATAGCACCCATTTGCAGAAAAAACAAGAAAGGAAAGCTAACTTCGGGCGGAGCCGAAGTTGATATACCCTTGCAGAATACTCTGTAAATTATATTCTCCAAAATTATTCATATGATGCATTTTTAATACTCATAAAAAATCCCAACTTCCTAACTTTAAAAACACCAAAGTTATGGCACTTCCGATCAATCAGTTATATGGCAGCTATAAGATATAGTCGGCCGATCCTTAAGAAATTCGGTATGTCGGATTGATTGGCCAAAAATAAAACCCAAAGAAAGTCCCAACTTCTTATCTTTAAAAACACCAAAGTTATGGCTTTTCCGATCGTTCAGTTATATGGCAGCTATATGATATAGTCGCCCGATCCGGCTCGTTCCGACTTATATACTACCTGCAATAGAAAGACAACTTTTGGGAAAGTTTCGAGCAGATAGCTTTAAAACTGAGGGACTAGTTTGCGTAGAAACGGACGGACAGACGGACAGACTGACAGACGGACAGACGGACGGACAGACGGACAGACGGACATGGCTAGATCGACTCTCCTGGTGATGCTGATCAAGAATATATATACTTTATAGGGTCGGAAATGTCTCCTTCACTGCGTTGCAAACTTTTGACTGAAATTATAATACCCTCTGCAAGGGTATAAAAATGTTTATATGTCATTATCAGCAATCTACGCTTATTATGATAACCTCTGTCAAGTAAAAAGATTATTTCAAAAAGTAAAAACAAAATTCCTAAAAACTCCAATTGACAAAATAATAAAGTCATTTACATTTACTCTATGTACTATTTATAACATTTTTTAACAAGCCATTTGCTGTTTTGGAAATTATAAATTAAACATAGAATTTAACAATTGGCGTTGACCGTAAGTTCCTTTTGTGTTGAACTCAATATCTTCAACAGGATGGCAATCGTAAATGGTTCCCATGGATTCATCTCTTGTGGCTCGTATTGAACCGTTGTCTATGTTCCGTCACTGACTTTAAAATAATGGCCAATGCTATCTGGCCGGTGGTTCACCTGGATTAAAGGAAAGAGGATCGGAAAGATCCCTGATAAGCTAGGTTCTATAAAAAAAGATGAAATTCACTCTCAGCTCCCGAACTTAGATCAGTTCTTTATTGAATATTCGCTGGGAAAGATGAGTGCCGTTCGATGGATTATTTTGTGCACACTTTTGCTGATTTATAAGGGAACTGCTCAATTCCTAGATAGCAAATGTGCAACTGTTGAGTATAAGGGGTCTATTCGCACTCCTTGGCTAGCTGAGATTCAAACAAAATCTAAATTAATCTGTGCTGGTTCACTTATTAATAAACGTTTGTATTTAATAAACAATTTATTTCTTGGGACTTTGACAATATGTACTTTTTTTTTAGGGTACGTCTTGACAGCTGCAAGCTGCATAGAATCCCAAACTCAACTGTAAGTTATGCCAAACAAAAATTAATTACAATAAAAATAAACTTATTTTTAACAGCGTCGTGCGCTTGGGAAATTTCAACGGATCGTTATCAGACAATAGCTATTCCGACAACACCTACGAGGAATACCCTGTCTCAGAAGCCTACGTACACAAGTCTTATTCGGCAGACACACATGAACATAACATAGGTTTGCTTAAGCTGCCAACTGCAGTCAAATATAAGCAACATATAAAACCGCTATGCATCACAGAAAACGTTAATAATATAAACAAGTCGCTCACTTTTAAAATTTTAAAAAAGAATGCTAAAATTGGCTTTTGGGAGAGTATAAAATCGGTATTTGGAAGTTCTTGTGCTGACATTAAAAAGCAAGAATACGTATCCTCTGATCTCATTGGCAGTCCCTTTAGTAAACCAATCTTCTATTGGGGTGTAAGTCGCAACGTGCAACATGGAATTCTGAGCTTCAGTAATCCCGAAACATATGTTTATACCAATGTTATCGGCTATACGGACTGGATAATACTGAACGTGTTAGAAATCGATATAATAATGACGAATTCCCGAGGAGTGAATTGAATAAATCTATAGAAATATTTTAAATAATGGTATTGCGACCATCAATATATCTTTTAAATGTGTTTTTAATATTGAATTACATCTATTTATGTCTTTATTAATAAAATATTTTCTGCATTAAAATATTGTTGGCTTTTGGAATTAATAAAATTATTAATTAACTACTTTATTTGAGTTTGTATATGATTTATAAGCTTATAAGGTTTAACAAATAAATACTTAATGATAATATTAGGACTTTACTTTTCTTTAAAAACACAACTCACACCCAAAAAATTATCAATCTGTCATCTTTGTCATCTGACAAAATTATTTGTGCCAAATTTTTGTTGGTCTGTATGATTTTCAACAAATAAACGCACATATATTCTGTGATGTATACGCAAAGTGCTTTTAGAAACACAGATAAGCTTATTTTTATATAAAAATAAAATGGGACCTATATTTAAATTAGTTGCACAGTGTCTTTTCGTTTGAAAGTATGACGTCCCCACGCTGTATAGCTTTTTGCACTCTGTTGTTGTTTCAAAATGGTTTATCAATATTTCTGGACCAGAACTGTGGGCTCATTGATTCATCGAAAAGTCGCACTCCTTGGCTAGCTAATATTCTAACAGAAGTGGAACATAAATTTATTTGCTCTGGAACGCTAATAAACAGACGTAAGTATTCAAGATGAAGTTTATTCATAAGATCTCAAAGATTTTACAATTCTTCTTAGGTTACGTCCTGACGACTGCGACTTGCTTACAGAATCGTCCCGCAATGTAAGTCATCCTTAAAAATCTTACAAATAATAAATATTATAAACTATATTTCTTTGAACAGTACCGTTTGCCTGGGAAAGTGCGACAGCTTTTCAGATGATGTTCTTTACAAAAACGCACGCTATCGCATTCCTCACGAGTCTTATTCGTCATCCAACCATCAGAATGATATTGGCTTAATCAACTTGCAACCAAATGTCGAGTACAATGCATATATAAAACCTATCTGCATTCGTATAGACCCCCAACAGAAATGGTCTAACTCACACATGAATGGCAGCTTATGGTCCGGCATACGATATAAGCCAAAACATAAGAGCTCCATTTGTTCTGAGCCACCATGCAAGGCTATTGGGAAACCCTTGAGCATACCAGATGCATCTAATCGGTCCGTGCAACACGGAATCCTGAGTTTTCAGGACTCTAAGACCAATGCTTACGTTTATACAAATGTTTTCGAATTCATCGAGTGGCTAGTAGAAAAGGCCCTCGACATTGATATAATTGTAAGTTTGCCTGCTTAAAGTTTAAATAATACTGAAAAATATATCGCACAATTGAACAAACCCATTAGAAAACCTCTTTTATCATGCTTATGCCTCTCATTAAAACAAAAGGGTAACATTTTCTAATAAGATTGATACCAATCATTTAAAATCAGAGGGTTTTATCGTAATGCTTACTTATACGCAAATTTTTTGGTCAGTAAAATAGCCTGTCAGCTTAAAACATTCCCAATCTGTCAAAATATGTAGCTTATAGTCTTATCTGCACAATTTCAAAAATTTTGAAGACGAGCTGATAAGCTATAATCTCGTACTCTCAGAACTAATCTTAATTGATGTTCAGCTTAAACAATGACTCATGACGGAAAATAAAAAAAAACCCAGCTACAGTTCTTGAACTCTCAGAACCGCTGATAAGCTGCTTTTTATAACAGAATGAAATCGGAGCGCAGCTTAGCATTTAAGTTCAGTAGTATCTTTCACTTTGGAATAATGAGTACCGCACCGTGCATAGCTTTATGTGTTTTGCTGATGTTTCAATATGGATCATCTGTACTCTTAGAAAAGAATTGTGGACGCTTTAAAAATATCATACTTAACACTCCTTGGCTGGTCTCTATTCGAGCTGGTGAAAAACCTGAAGTCATCTGCGTTGGCACCCTTATTAACGAACGTTTGTTGTCAATATAGTGATAATTTTTTTATTTTTGTAAATGTGTTTTTTTTTAGGATTTGTCCTGACAGCAGCCAGTTGCATACACAACCAAAGCTCACTGTAGGTTACATTATTTTCAAAAACAAACAAATATTATAAAAATTCTTTATCAGGAAAGTTCGGTTGGGAGAAATCGTGGAAAATAATAATACAAAATATGCCAAATACAAATATGTGGAGATGCTTGTATTAAGGGCCATTAAGCACAAGTTATATTCACCAGGCAGCGATCAGAATAATATTGGTCTGCTCAGATTGCCAAAGGATGTTGTATATATGGATCATATACAACCTATATGCATTGAGCTCAACACTGACAAATCTAGTAGACACAAACGTTCGGATTGGGAATGGCTTCCGAAAACAAGCGTTGGTTACCCCAAAGTGCAAATTGTGAACGACACAGTTTATTTTCAAACTGGAATTTTGAGCCGTGATAATGTCATTACAGCGGTTCGGGAATATGCCGAGGACTGGATATTACCAACAGCGCTGGAAGTTGATGTCATACAGTACCCCCTGTCATGACCATCAAAGCAATATATATCACACCAAGAGTTATAGTTTCCATACTGATGTATGTCATGAATTGAATTCATGAAAAACCTGCTAAATATAATAATCTTTTATTTCAAATATGGTTTGAATACTTTGAAATAGTATAGTATGAACAAGTTCAAAAAATAAAGAATGGTTCGATATTTCCGTGTAAGGTTTGAGTATTTATTGGGCTTGGAATGTTCCAGCTTCTAGCTGCTATTTAATGGGCTTTAATGGTGAGAGGAAGGCTAATCAGGCGACCAGACAAGACACACTACGCATCACATCTGCTCGAGGCCTTTTTCTTTTATTGGTCAAACCTGTAATCGAACTTTGGCTTGAACGTGGTTTGTGTGTTGCACTTGACAATTTCGGGCTGTAAAAACACTACCATACTCATCACTGAATCCTCACAGTTTTGCATTCCTCTGGGAATGGTTGCTTGGACTTAGATTGTTACTAAAGCTTATATCTTACCAGAAGAGCCCCTTTTCTGTTGCCTTTGACTTTGATTAGTTTTTGTCTATTAAAATAAAGTTGCTTTACTTAGGGTAACATTAATGTTCAATAAATGTTGAATAATGTGTAAAAATAAAAAGGTATGAGCTTCCCTTAATTTAATTTGTTTTTTAAAGTTATTCATCAGAGTACCACATAAATGAATATTTATTTATATTAAAACAGAAACTTATTAAATTTCCTACAGTCAATTGCCTAAAATTACTTTTAATACGTAACTATTAATAATATGGATTACAAATCGATAGATTTTAATCATCGTTGATTAAATTTCCACTTTATCGTTAACCGCAGATGATTGTGGAAAGTGTGAAAAGTGTGCCGCTGAAAATGCATCTAAATTTGATTAAACATTTCTCTATTTTCATCCCTAAAAATAATTGTTCTATTATACCTGTGCAAAACGCCCGTTGAATTTAAAAAGAAAACAAGAGAGAACGCTATAGTCGGGTGCCCCGACTATCAGATACCCGTTACTCAGGTAAAGGTAGTGCGAGGGAGATGGAGATAGAAACTTTGATCACGCATAACTTTTTAACGAATGGTCCGATTTGAAAAATTTCTTCTACATTTCGATAGGTATTGATAAACACAATAAAACTGCATTTTTACTTTTCCGAAATATTTAAATTTTTAAAATCGTATATAAGCGATTGTGGGCGTTAAAGGGGGCGTGGCACCAGTTTGATACAAACTTGCGCTGCGTAGGAACTCCTAAAATCTACATTCAAAATGCCAATCTTCTAGCTTTTATAGTTTCCGAGATCTCAGCGTTCATACGGACGGACAGACAGACGGACAGACAGACGGACAGACGGACAGACGGACATGGCTATATCGACTCGGCTAGTGACCCTGATCAAGAATATATATACTTTATAGGGTCGGAAACGCTTCCTTCTAGCTGTTACATACTTTTGCACGAATACAATATACCCTTTTACTCTACGAGTAACGGGTATAAAAATGTGTGATTGGGGGCTAAAACCTGAACATAAATTGCCTTTGGCACCAAATCTGTAACCCCATTTGAGGACCTTTGCGACCTCGTGTGTGTCGCATTGTTTTTAAATATTGGCACAAAATCAAATTATCTGCTATTTGTCAATAAATAACTATGGACAAAGGCGAAACTTTATTAAAATTCACCACAAAACGTTGCAGTTTCCGGTTTCAATTACGCCATAAATTTTCGGCTCTACACACCCGCACATGGGGGCGGTTTGAGGGTGGGGGCGTGGTCGTGTCGGTTATTCGATGACATAAAGCCCGTCGCAGGCATATTGAAATTTAAGGCCCCGTTGGCAACTTGTCGCAATTTACAACCTGTGTCCTTCCCGACTCATCTCGGTATCCCTTCTCCAGTAGCCCATCCCATTCCACAAAACACGAAATATGAGCCAATATAAAAGCAATAAAGCACGTCATGCAAATAGAGCAATATCAAATCTACCCAAATCGAAAGTAAGCTGTTGGAGTCCCAATAAAGTGTTACCTATGCACTGGGGAAAATGTATTGGACAATTATAAGATGGCAGTTTTGTAGCGATTAAATCCTTAAGCTACTAACCAACATTTTACTAAAATTTTAAAAAATATATTAAATAAAATGTTTTAGTTGTCAACCATAAGTAAGGTTTAAAGTACAATTAAAACGCTTTTTTTAATAGTAGATAATGAGTATTTATTTGTTATGCGTTTCTTAATATATATAAACACTTACCTTCCATTCACACATAAAATGATAATAAATATTTATTTGTTAAGCGTTTGTATATATATATTTATATTTATATATAAATATAAAACACACTTCTTTAAAATGGTTGTAGATTTATTAATGCAGCAGCAGCATATTATTGCACATAAAAAATGTATTTAAGACAAAACTTAAACGAAAAAGTTTAAGATATTGAAATAATAGCTTCCCAAAATCTAAACTAATTTTTTCTAGAATTCATGAAATATCGTTTATATAAAATCATTAGAGAACGATTTCCAAGGGCTAGTTCTATTTAACTTTTTTTGTACTTTAGGCCTGCCTGTCTCCCATTATGAGTTATTGTAATAGCCATCAAATAAAATTATAAATTGCAGTGGCCAAGTAACTGGCACAGATCAAACGGCGACGGAGTGCGGCCATAAACATTAATAACCAATATGCCAGGAGGCAGAAGACAGAGGACAGAAGCCAGGAGGCAGGATTCGCCAGGTAAAGACAGGCGTGTGAAGCGCATAAACAAGCCGCTAAGGATTGCAGGCGAAGAAAGGCCCGAGATCCTAGTTCCCCTGGCGAAAGCCACTTTCGCAATTTATGGCAGCGGGGTGGAAAAAGTGTAAAGAATCGCGGCAGAGCAGAGCAGTGCAAAGCAAAGTTTGTTACTTTGGCACGGCTTTCACCGATGATGCATTGATGCGGATTTAAAGTTTAAAAGGTTTCGCGGCCGCGAAAGAGAGAGATTCCTGACAGCCATTTGGCGTTTTGGCGCATAATAAATTCGAGCGGCAGACGCACGGTTTAATTTATCATCAAAAGGGTGCCTAGCGAAAGGCGAATGGAATTTATTGGACTAACTTATGGACGGCAAGCCAGTGCCGTGGCCTCCAACGTGGCAGCAAGGTGTCTGTGCATAGTTTATTTCAAATTGGTTGCTTCTGCCAGCTATTCGCCGGCAGATTGATTGGCCTGATGAATGAATGCTCATGAGCGGGCTCCCCATTGTACTGGAATCGAGTTTAAAAATTCCATTATATGGTTTGCTGTTTTTGCAGCACTATTTGCTTTCAATTGGTTATTTATTGGCATTCATATTGGAATGTGGAAACAATGTCTGCATCTGCACAAAAGGTTTCAGTCGTTAAATGTAAAAAGCTCTGTTTGTTTGCCCACGTTAAACATTACATAGGAATAAAATCTCTTATCTTAAAGTTCCAAGGGGGAATGCAAAAGTCGTAACTGAAAACAACGCTAATCATCTCCGATGACAGCGAAATACAAACCAATTTCATGGCAATGAGAGGGGGATTCATAATTTCAAGCATGCGATAAACACATGAGGATTCCGATGGGGCGACTAGGCATGACTCGGCTATATCCTCGGATGTGGGATAGTAATAAAAGGGCACGCTTCGATGCCCAGAGACGACGGCATCCTCAAATCAGGCAGAAAAATGCTGCCGTGTCTGACTAGCTGCCGATATCTGAAGGAGATTCGGTGTGTATATGTACATATATCTGTGTGCTCCACATTTCATTACGCCGAACATGACGACGCTGAAGGCACGTAACAAGTTTAAATTGCGCTCGTTGACTGTTGACTGCCGTGCGGAAGATGCCGATATCGATGCCATATAGCCATGGTCATAGCCATATCCACACAACCGATTCTCGATTCTCGATTCCGTTGCCGGCCAAGTCATGGCCAACAGCCGCAATTGAACCAGAAAAGTGTATTTATATGTAACGGAAATGATGCTGCACTTATGTCCTGCCTGCCGCGTGGCTCCATGAGTGGAGCGAATCGAGTTGGCCATCCTCTGATTTGCCTTGCTAATAGATGATTATGATACTGTGCATGGGTATATGGAACAGAGCCCACTCTCCATAGATGATTATGATACTGTATATGGATATGTAGAACAGAGCCCACTCCACAGTGCTCCGCATCTTCTCCGGGCAATTGGGTGGTCGATAAGCGCTGTATTATGCATAATTGTAAGTGGAAAATCTGAAAATGGCTGAAGCTGCAGTGATAAAAAGGTCTATAAAGATAGGAGGCTACGGCCACAGAGAGAATAATTTTAATAACGTCGTTAAATATATACATTAGGATTAGAATATATTTATGTTTGGATTATTTTCAATAGCCGTACTTTAAAAAATAAAAATACATATTCTTTAAGATTATTTTGGCAAGTTAGTGTGTGGATTAGAAATCTCAGAGATGACAATAGATTTTTAAATTCTCTATTATTTAAAAATTATGGTTTAATATTTACCCAACTAAAAAAACCTATTTCAAATAATATAATTAAAAGTTAAATTTCAAAAATTTATATATGATTTATTTTTCTATGTGCAAGCACAGCTATTGCTATGGCATTACTTTTTATGTAGGTAAAGTTGAATTGATGCGTGTGTGTGCCTGTTGTGATTTTATTTCGGCTTGCTGTACCTAATTTAATGGCACCTCGACTCATCTTGCCATCCGAGATTTGTTCGCCTGTTCACCTGGCAATGGAATAATGGCAGACTTATCGCTCTTGCCAACTCTGTTGATTTTTATGGCATCTCGGTTTCGGCTTGGGTTCGTGGGAATGCGTAAATGAAATTATTATCTGTGGAGTTTTTGGCAAGCTGAATAAATAAATTTTATGCCTGCGCCTGTGTGTATTTTTATGGCTTGCCAGTCGGTTGGTCGGATGGTCGGTTGGCTAGCAACTCTTGCAGTAAGAGTTGCCTGTTTGCTTAGCATTTGCATTTATTGTAATGGGCCAAAAGTTTGCCTATATCAAAGTCATGCACGCTGTCAAGCATTAAGCGTTCCACACACACTCACACACACACGCACATGCACACACACACCGACACCATCTACACAAATAGACAGGTATGCATGCTAATGTGGCGTATACGTTATATTTTCAGCTGCT